AAATTTATTTGTTTTGAACGATGTAGTTTCTTCATTTTCAGTGCATGTTTACTTTAACCTACATACATACATTAAATGTAGGCCCTTTATCAGGACAATCCCAGTTGGGAAGACAGAGAAAATTTAAAGGAATTTTCGTCCCCTAACCCCTTCGGGGAGCATACCATACGGCCCCTGGCCATCAGTAGACCAGAGGTTCTCGCAGCGAAAAACCAGTGGACCCGAGTTCCCGCAGCGAAACGCGAAAAAGTCGCTTTCTGTCCTAGTGAACCACACCCACACTGCCAAGTTACTCTTCAAATGAAGGAAGCTCAGACCAAGATAAAATTCCAGTAAAGAACCAATCTCTTACGGTTACACAAGTAATGTACCTCACTTGAATCCGTGAACAAAGAACGAAAAGTGAGACACTCCTCACCAAAACGTAGTACGTGCAGTGCGTGAGTGATATCACAATTCGCATAAGGGAATGAAAGGCAGGAATTCACTTGTAACGGCCATGCACTCATTTGCGGTTGTTCAGCTTTGGATTTCGCACATGGATGTAAGAACGCTTCCAGCATTTTTTCTAGCAGTATATCATCCTCCTGGGTCAAGTTTTAAGATATTCAAGTCACTACCCTGAAAGAAGTCTCTCAAGCCGACGCTTACCAGTGGAGTATGAGAGTTTCCGCTTCCTTTCCCCGCCAGGTGTTCCTTTACGCGTACATCTAACTTCCTGCCTTTTCAACAATATATGCTTCGCTACAAGCCAAATATTGTAGTTGATATACAGTTCATCGCTGTGCGCAGTCCACTCTTGGAAAAATAAAACACTACATCAGCCAGTCAGTAAAGTACATAGAAAAATGCATCAGAGACGAGCAATAATAAACACATCTTCAAAATGGAGAAAAAAAGAAGCGAAAAGAGTGTGTTAAAAAGCTGCATCCATGGCACGTCCCATGCCATGGATGCAGCTTAATTTATTTCCATGAATTACGGAGGAGAAACGGTTGTACTGGGAAATATACTCGATATCGGTCAGTTGGGGTAGGCGTGTCACCGGAAGTGACGTGCGCTTGATAGAATCCCTTTATGTCATATTTACGAACAAAATGAGACTCCGGAGCGATTGTGAGGTGAAGCGACTCATACTCACGATCACAGATGCAGGCAGAGTAGGCAAAAAATCAAGCCCCCACAATGGATTGACATGGCTTAAACATTCGAAACAGTTCGAGTGTCCATATCTTTATCTTCAAAGTATCCACAGACGCCAGAAATGTAACAAAATGCGCTAGCGTTACCAACAAAAAAGTCTAAGACACATTCAGAAAAACCGATGAATTGTAACAACCTGAGCCACCCACATTTTATATGTCAATCAGCGATACGGCCCTTTGGGAAGTCTGTATTTTGCAGTCCTTGAGCATAAGAACGACGAAAACAAAAGGGAAGAGTTGGAAAATAGTACAGCCCAACATGCCGTGTTGTTATCTACAGACTCGGTACAAAATTTGAAAAAGAGGGTTCCCAAGAAACAAAAAATTTAGCAATGACTGATATGTAAAATTTTGGTAGACTACTGCTGATTGATTCTGTTGAGTTGAAATATCCACCCAGTCAAATTGAAGTAGCCACGAGAAACAGGAACTACACGAGACGCCACAACCTTGCAGTAGAACGGGTTCCCGTAAGCCTAGTCGACCTTATAGTGTTACAATTTGCCGGTCATCAGCGTATCACTGTTACTACAGAGGCAGCCGAATCTATGAAAAGACGATTTGCGAT